AGGAACTCCCAATCAAAGCATCCCCGACAGATGGCCATCCAGCCAGTTTTCTTGGCAGAATGTGTTCAGAGGGGTTTGCCTTTGCCTTTCTCTGAGGCTGAGAAAGTGTGACTTGCCTAAAGTCAACCAAGATTCTTCTCTGGCTGAGTGGGGAATTGAATCCCAGCCTCCCTGTGTCCTAGTCCAACATTCAAACCACTACACCATACTGGCAGTCTATTGTAACAGAAAAACAAAAGCCCTGAAGATGGATCAGGCCAAAGGCCTCTCTTGTCTAGAATCCTATTTCTCATCACAATGACCAGCTGGATGCATACATCTCTCCACTCTGCCCAGAAGCCGACAAACAGGACAGAAGCGCAACCCTTTCCCCTGCCCTCATTCATGTTCCCCAGCAACTGGCATGCAGAGGTCATTCTGCAATACTGTGACATCCCTCCCCTCTTCCCTCCAGCACAATTGGGGTCTAGGACTGCTCTTAGTCTATTAAGCCCAGCTGTTCATGTCAGGACTTTAAGGTTACAACCCATTAATCCCGTTTTCCTTTCAAATGCAAATCTCATTCTGCATCTCCAGTGAATTCATATTCAACTTAAACAAAATGTTGTATAGTCCAGCTTTCATCAACCGAGTGCTTTGTGGGTTTTGGGAATTTCAGTTCTCACGATCCTTCAATATGGACATGAGAGATAGGGGCTGATGGGAGCTGCAGTTCAAAACGTCGGGAGGTGATCAGTTGGAAAAAGCTGGTATAATCCATCCAGCTTCGGAGGCCAAGTCAAAGACCTGTGAGATGATCCATATAATTCCTATTTGCTTGAGTGCAGCTTACACAAAATCCTGCTTTTGAAAATGACAACAGATTCATTGCAAATAGTAACATGTGATATATTGTACGTTGTACGCTTGTATGTAAAATAAAAAATTAAAAATTAAAAAAAAAGAAAAAAAAAGAAAATGACAACAGATTCATTGCAAATGGATCGTTTTGTTCTATGTGTAACTAGGCTTCATTTTAGATTTGCTGTTGCTATATTTTTTTTAAACAAGTTTTGTTTGTTTCCATCTGGCAAAGCTTAATAAAAAGAGGGTTGTTTCTTCTTTAGATCTGACAGATTATAAAAGTCAAATGAGACTGTATTTCAGAGGTGCTCTTTTGATAGACAGCTTCAAGCCCTACGGGTCAAAGGCATAGTGGAGCTGTTCTCCCCAGAAACATATTTGTGGAAGAAATAAGACAAAAGTGACAGAGGTGGGGGACATGGTATGAATACACATTAAAAAATGACATGATCCAGACTCAGATTTATTTCCAAGAATCAGGCAGGTCATTGCATAATAAAAATGTTGCCTAGGACTATTTCGTGTTGAAATACTTTCCATATAACAGACAGCAGATGGCAGCATTAGCCAGGCAGGACTGACATAGGTGAGTTTGGAAGTGGAGAGAGGCAAGTGGAGCAGCTATTACTGAATGCAAATGGCACATAGTACAGGAACATAGAGGGCAGTGCCAAAACAGACAGAAATAAATCAATCTAAGTCCAGTCACAAGTTTGGAAGTCTGCTAACTTACTCAGTGATGCTGTGATGCAAACCAATGAAATTTTGGGCTGCATCAAGAAGAGAATAGTGTCCAGATCAAAGGAAGTAGTAGTGCCACTCTGTTCTGCTTTGGTCAGATCTCACCTGGAATCCTGTGCCCAATTCTGGGCACCATTGTTCAAGAAGGATATTAACAAAGAAGGGTGACTGAGATGGTTTGGAAACCCAAGCCTTATGAAGAACAACTAAGGGAGTTGGTTATGTTTAGTGTGGAGAAGACTGAGAGTGGACATGATGTGGTGTCTGTATATATGCCTTCAGGTTGCCTACTGACTTATGGCACCCTTGTGAATTTCAGGCAAGGATACTCAGAGGTGGTTTTGTCAGTTCCTTCCTCTAAAATATAGCCTACAGCACCTAATATTCATTGTCCCCATCCAGGTGCTAACCAGGGCTGATGCAGCTTAGTTTCCAAGATCAGACAGGATCTCATGACTTTATGTTTTGCTAGGTGGCATGATTTTGCTGTTGTGTGTCTTCAAGTCATTTCCAATTTATGGCAACCTTAAGGTGAATCTAACATGGAGTGGGATTTTCTGGGGCTGAGAGTGTGTGACTCACCCAAGGTCACTTAGTGGGTTTCCATGGCCAGGCAGGGAATCAAACTCTGATCTCCAGAGTTGTAGTCCAACATTCAAACCACTACATCATATGGGCTCTCAGGTGGCATGATACCTATCTTGAAATATCTGGAGTGCTATCATGTTGAAGATGGAACAATCTTGTTTGCTACTGCTCAAGAGACTAGAACACAAACCAACAGAGATTCCACTTAAATCTTAGAAATAACTTCTTTACGGTTAGATCTATTCAGCAGTGGAACAGACTGCTTCAGAGGGTGGCAGATTCTCCATCTTTGGAGATCTTTAAACAAGGGTTGCTTGGGCATCTTTCAGGATTGTTTTAGTTGTGTATTCAGCATGGCAGGGGGTGGACTAGATTGCCCTTTTGGTCCTTTCCAACTCTACGATTCTTCTCTATGGGGCCACAGTGCTGTATGCCAGCCTTACTCCCCCATGTCCCTCTCTCAATCTGCCAGACTTACAGATACAGCTGCTGCGGGATGAGTCAAGGATGTAGCCCTCATGGCAAACACAGGCAAAGCTGCCACGTGTGTTGGTACAGTCGCCATTCTGGCAGAAGTTGCCCTCCTGGCACTCATCCACATCTGTGGGGCAGAGGAGGGGAAGGAAAGAAGCGATATCAGAAAGAATGGAAGGTTCATACCTCTGTATGAATGGAGACAACAGTTTTATGGTATACACATACAGTATACGTTAATACACAGGTTTTCACAACTGCACATATAAACAAAAGAAATCTCCTGGGAGAAGGTTTTGATCACAAAGGAACTGACTTTTGATAAGCAGATTCATTGCTTTCACATGTAAATACTAGCAGAACACTTTAAAGACTATTACCAACCACCTGAAAAATCTGTATCATCTCATACAGCTCTTTGAAAATTAATAGCCAAGGTCACTACTTGCATCTTTTTGATTCCATTCCCACAACTATGTAACTAGGCTTAAAAACCTGTGGCTTTAAGAAGAATACACAGGAAAACATGTGCTAAAATAGACTGGTTAGTCTAAAAAGTACTGTTAGATTCCTCTTCCCCACCTCTTCTTTTTTATGATGGAAGGCAACTAACTGAAATGTCAGGTGAGATTGGCAAGGATGTTTCTCAACTGCACCAATCCATACACTCCAACATTTCATCTATGAAAACAGACACATTTGACCAAGCAGCATCAGAATGTGGCAAGATGGCAAACATTATTTAAAAAGGAAGAACACACAAGCTAGGAGAGGCTGCAGTGGTTTGCTTTTGCCTGAGCCTACTGAGAAGGTCTAGATTTTGCCCCTGCCTTCCTCTCCCCATAGCTGAGTTAACTGAGGACAAACTACTTTTGTACTTTGAACTCAGTTTGCAGCAAAAGGAAGTAAGCTAAGAACAAAGAGGGAAAGTGGGAAGAGAAGGGAGAAACTGGGACATTTAAAGTGCTAAAAAAATGGCACAACAGAGGGTTAATCAGGACTGTCTCTGCCAGATCAGGACACTTGGGGCCTTTGCAGACTGCCAGAAATAGTGCAAATTGAGTCCACTTTAACTGTCCTGGCTCAGTGCTAGGGAATCATGGGAATTGTATTTTTTTCTGAGACATTGAGTTTTTTCTGCCAGAGAGCTCTAGTGCCACAATAAACTACAGTTCCTATGATTCCTTAGCACTGAGTCAGGGCAGTTAAAGTGGCCTCAATTTGCACTATTTCTGGCAGTCTGCAAAGTGTGTTGGTGTGGGGAGGTTATACCAATATGGATCACAAAAACAACACACCTTTATGGTTATTCCATGTACCTGTGTGTGCACCAAGCAAGGCTTTTCCATAGGTCCTGGGGAGCATGCAGGAGAAGGCCTGTTTCCACTCTCACCCCATCCCATCCCATCCTTAGGTGGCAGGCCAAGAAGTCCTGAGCTGGCCAGCCCTACTCACCAATGCAGGAACCATTCAGCCGTCGGAAACCTTTGGGGCAGGCCACCTCATTCCTTCCCACTGGACTAGAGTCTCCTGTAGTAGGGAAAGAAGAGAAAACACAAGATAGAAGGGTGTCAAGAAAAACCTTCACTGCTATAGGTCCACAATACCCACCAGAGGAATGCTCCAGAGTAGAGTTAACAGAGTCAACAGTGGGCTAACAGTGACAACTACAGAGTGGTGCAATCATTTTTGCACTCGCATTTTCTTGACATGAATTCTGCTTGTTCTGTGATACAGGCTGGCTTTAGTAGAGGGTGCAAACGCTGTTTGGTGATGGGTGGGGTGGGGGGAACTGGGAGACAAATTTGCGACAAATGGCAAAACTCATGGAATTTCCCAGCCAGAGATCTCCAGTGACCTACCAAACTACAAACACCAGCATTCCATAGGATGGAGCCATGGCAGTTGAAGTGGAATCATAGAGCTATCATTCCACAATGTGAAAGAGCTGCAGGAAAGAGTGTGAAGCCACACAGTAAAGTACATTGGCACATTTGCCCTGCATATCTTCTTACTACTATTCCAATTCCCAGAAAGTTGCTATATCTCTCCATGGCAGAAGAGCCCTACCTAGGCCACCATTGTTGCAGGGTAGGCAGTCATGGACACCCCAGGCGAGGCCAGCCCCACGGCAGCAGATCTCACGGGTGCGCAAGCCAGGCAGAGGAGCACTGCACTGAAAAGGAGAAGCAGAAGCAAGAGTAAGGCTATGGGGAACATCCAACAGCAAGCTATGAAAACCCCAAACATTAATAGCTAGGAGCAATGGGATAGTGGAACCATGGTTTGCAGGGTTGAAGGCTGGGACTTTTTGATGAGTAGTGACTATGAAAACATCTGACAACCCACCCACCCACCCCAACCCCAGATTTCTTCTGAGTTTAGCCGCAAAATCCACAGTAGCTGGAGGGAAAACAGATTTGTCCAACAGCAATGTATTGTTATGACTTGGCCCTATTATAATACAAAGTATTTTGGGTTGGTTCATTTTTGAATGGGCAAGAATTATTAGCTTTACCCCCCCCCCAAAAAAAACCCACCAACAACCAACACAACAAACCTCACTGCTGGTGAAGAAGGAAACAGTATTTTTTTAGATAGATAGACAGATAGACCGACCACTTAAGATTGTTACATTTTTGGACTTTCCTTTGAAATGTTGATAAAGGAACTGGCACAATGAGGGTTTGTGCTTTTAAAAATGACCACTGTACCACTGGTTGCAAGATCATACTAGTGTGCCTGCGTAAAAATAATGGAGGTATACACTGTTGTTTCCTGAGATCTGGTGGGCAGCCCCACATTGGATATGCAAGTGGGCAGCACAGAGGCAGAGCAGTCCCCTCTTTCCCCAGAACCCCTGAATCTCCCTTACTAGGCACCCACTTCATGCCCATCCATGTGCAGACACTGATTTTCATGCCCCCATATCATTGGAATGGGCAAAACCCATACTTTCTTCCTTGTACAAATGAGCAAGGAATCAGAACATGCATTCCTGGGCTTGAATCCTTGAGTCAGGGATTGAGGAGTCCCACCAAGAAAGGGAGGGTGATGATCCCAAGAGAGATGTGGTCCTCCTTTCAAGCAGATTATTTTTTTATAAAGCAAGAGGGAACCTGTTGTCTTGACCCCCAAGGCAAACCTCAGCTCTGTTCACTTTCTTCTTCAGATCTACTTCCCTGCCTGTCTCTAGTCCAGGGCAACCTCAGAAGGACTCTTCCTAGAGATCGTTGAGTAGGCCACCCAACGGTCTTTCACCAACCAACCCAAAATGCTCCATAGAGCCAGAAGGAGAGAGGAACCCATCCCCTCTCTCCAGATCTCCCAGATTCCTTGGTTAAGAAGGAGAGATCTCTCACTGAGCACATTGGGGGTCAGTCACGGAGAGAAAGTCTCGAGATATTTTAGCCATTCTGCAGAGGGAAAAAATGTCATTAAAGGCTCCTTGCACAGATGGCACTCTCCAGCTCCTGACCCATTTCTAGGTGGAGTAGCTATGGTAGACCTCCCAGGCCCACGGCCTCCTTCTAGCGCAGTATATGTTGCTTTTGGACTCTATGAGGACCTAATAAACACCTGCCATCACTCTTTCATGCCAGTTTTAAGAGTGCTGGCAAAGGAACAGCAATTCCTTTTTTCAGCCAGATCTCTCCCAAAGCCAAAGGGAGAGACGCCCCCACCCCCCCGGGCTCACTCCTCCTACACTTGAACTCCTGGCTGTGCCTCTCTTTGGGGGTAGCGTGTGTTGCTGTTGGAAGTGAAGACCGGAATCTTGTTGGTGCACTGAACAGGTGTACCCATTCTAGTGTAGATGGCAGCACCAGGAGGAAAAATGCCACAGGATAGGGTTGCCAGAGTGAAGACTGTAGCTGAGTCTTGTGTCTTTAATGTTTGTGCAGGAGATGAATCTTCAGCAGGCGTTACTTGTCATCCAGCCAGGTTACAAGCAGCACCTTTTGAAATTCCCTCTTCTACACAACCATTAAAGATACAGGAGCCCTCTCCAGTTTTCATTCTGGCAACCCTAGCATGCAGCCAGAACACTGGAGAAATTGCATACCCTCCAACATTTCTCAGACACTGGGACACATCTGGCCAAGCAACATCAGTGTGTGGTCAAGATTACAAAAACTATTCATAAAGAAGAATGCACCAGCTAGGAGAAGCTGCAGCCGTTTGCTTTTGACCAAATTGACAGGGAAGGGCAAAATTCCACACTTCTTCTCTTTCCTTTGCTCACTTAATTGAGTTCAAACTCTTTTTGCATTTTAAACTCAGCTTGCAGCAACTGACATAAGATGAAGACAAAGGTGGAATGTGAGAGGGGGAAAGAGAAAGTTAAAACAATTGAAAAAAGTAAGACAATAAAGGATTAATCAGGGCTGTCCCTGCTAAATCAGGAAAGCTGGAGGAAACTAAAAATTGGCCACTTGCAGCCAGAAGATTTTATTTGTCTTCTCAGCACTGCTACACAACTCAGGAAAAAAGGCAACCGCTATCAGTGTCAACAGAATTCTGTCCAAAGAGAGCTGGTGACAGCTCTAACAAATCTGGTTCAGGGATCAGGGTTACTCCAGTTCTAGATTCCAGAGTGGTTTTTATGTAATGGGGGG